CGCGTCGTCGTCATCCTCGGTACTGCCGCCGTCCGAAGCGAGCGCCCGCGCTGGCTCACGCAACGCATCGACGAGTGTCTCGTCGCATCGCCGCTGCCACCGCCACCGCCACCGCCGTCGCCATATTCCAAGTCATTTGCAGCGTTCGAGACAGGGCAGCTCCTCGCCCACGTGTGCCCCCCTGTCCGGTCGATCGAAGCGTGGCTCACGAGCCTCGATGTCCACCCACCACGTTTTATCCACGATCGCGAGACCGATTTGCACGAGCTCGCAGACCTCCCCGCCTACGAGCGGTCGTGGTGCGATCGCTACGTTCACTGCTGCGACGTGCTGCAAGCCAGTGCGCCAGACGTGTGCCTCGGCCTCACCACAGCATTTTTTCACACGCTTGCGACAAGAAGTGTGCCGTTGGCACTACGCAGTAGTGTCGTCGCGGCCGGGAAGCACGTGCTCACCACTTTGGCGCTCGTTTTGCATCCGCTGGGGCTGTCCGAGACCGTCTTGGACGCTCCTTTGGCGCAGCTGAGAGCGCTAAGCACCGCGCCGGACGACGTCGCAATCGTGGAGCTTGAATGCGCGCTGCATCTCGCGCTGTGTGTGTGTGCCGAAGACTTTGCCGACTCGGTCGACCAGATATCGCTCCTCGACCGCGCCCATGCGCTCTTGCAGCGGGTCCACGCAACGCTTGTGGCGGCGCGTGAGGTCCTGTGCACCGGGTGTCCTGCGTCCGTGGCCGCCATGGAGCGTAGTCTGCTGCTGCACTTGCTTCTGCACTGCATCGCGTTCGGGCTCTCGCCGCTCACGCTCCAGCACGTGGCCAAAGGCGCGTCGCTGGCTTTTGACAGCGACATATGGGAGGCGGAGACGGCAGCTCTGTCTGCAGCCCCCAACGTGTTTGCCCATGTGCTCCAGGACCCTTTGGTTCCATCGCAGAGCGTCATCTACGCGCGCCTTGTCCATCTCTTTGGCTTCTTGCCGCTGCAGTCCAGTGTCCGCATCCAGGCCGGGATCGTGCTCGGCAGTACGATGCTAACCATCCAGCGCATTCAAGATGCCGAGAACGTCCTGTACGAGTCGGTCTACCTCTCTGTCTCGACCAAGTCGACGCGATCTCGGTATGCTAGCGTGCCGTACATGCTCTGCGCCTTTGGCGATGCGCTCGTATCGAACCGCAAGTACCGCTTTGGCATTGCAGCGTACGAAGCGGCCTTGCGGGCGGGCGATGGAGCTTTTCGCACCGACCTCGAGCGCAAGCTCGCGATTCTCTGCAGCGACAACGGCGATCTCGACCGCAGCCTCGCCCTCTACGCTCGGATCCGCCAACGCAGCCGCGACCAGTGGCGCATGTTCGAGTACGTTTACGTCTCGGTGACGATGGCCACCATGCACATGGAGCGCCGAGCGTTTGCAACCGCGGCGTCCGACATACAGCACGTGCTCGCGTTTATGAAGAACGAGGTGTTTACGCAGGACGTGCGCATGGAGCTGCACGTGCTGCAAGTGCGTCTCGCCATTTGTCTCTTGCAATTGCAGCAGCCCCAAGACGCCATTGCCGTGCTCTTGGTCTGCCACGACGAGCTGCGCCAGAGGTCCAGTCATGTGTGCGCGTCAGCAGTCAAGCTCGTTGTCGTGCTGGGCTGGCTCGCGACCGCCTACCTGTGGCACGGCGCGTTGGCTGCGTGCGACGAAACCCTGCACTCGATTGCGCGGCTCCGCGAGACGACGAAATGCCGCTATAACTGCCTCGTGTCGGCCGCACGACACAAGCACGTGGGCCACGGCTCGTTTGCTAAAGTGCCGAGCTGCCTCAACATGACAGTGTCGCTGCACGAACACCCAGGCGCCGATTTGTACCCGCTTCAGATGCAGCTGTCGCTGGCGCGCCGCGAGCTGGAGAAATCTGCCCACTACTCGGCGCTCTCGATCATCACGCTCGAGCTGGACCCGCATGCAGAGATGCACGACCTCGCAGTGCTCTACTATCTGCGCGGCAAAGCGCTGGACGCGTGCTTGCAGAACCCGGACCTCTTTCCGATGAAGCTCCAAGGCCTTGAATGTGAGCAGCTCATTCTCGCCAACAAGCCCAAGCTGTCGCACCACCGCCGTCAGAGCTCGACGCTGCTCCGCGAACGCGTCCTCGTCACATCCGATGAATGTATTCCGTCTGGTGGAACAAATTCAAGGCCTCAAAAGCCTTTGCTGTAGGTCTCTACCACGCGGTGCGGTCGCTGCACCATAGTTTTGAGCTCTACAAGAGCACGAGTGACAAGCGGGGCATGGTCCATGCCGCGAATCGGCTCGCGGCCATGTACCTCGACAAGGTGTTTGTTTCCGTGCTTGTGCGCAACCAGTCGCTTCTGGACGTGGCGGTCTTGCGGCTCAAACGGCGGCATGCGTCGTCGCATCTGCATCTCAACGACGAGTGCGTTGAGTTTGCCTTTACGCTGAACGATATGCTCGGACCTGCGACACTCGGCTTTGATTTAAGCCTCGAAGCCATGGAGCCCGAGCCGTATATGGATGCGTGTGTCAACGTTGCGACGCTCTGCGCCCTCCGCAACGACTGGCCCGAGATGCTGCGCTACTGGTACGAAGCCCGAGACGTATTCTACCATTGTGGGTTTGGCACCGGGAGGCGCCACCGCCGCTTTCGTCGCCGCCTCACGCAGCTGCTCTTGTGCTGCGAGCCCTCGATCGTTGCGGCCAACGTCGTTTTACTGGATGTAGCCGCGTACGACGACGTCCCGTCGTGGTTTTGGCGCAAAATCCAACACAAGAATGCGACGCTTCCCGCCGAGACGAGCTTGAGCTACCATTATAAACGGCTGCGCGAGACGCGACCAAGTCATCAGCGCACACAGTCCGACTCGCTCGAGCACGTGACGTCCACGTTGTACGGCAAGCAGTCCGGCCACCACCTCTCGTTCCCGCCGCGCATCCGCGAGAAAGGCCGCATGAAGCCCCGAGGCTTAAAGGTGCACACCACGTTGCATGTCTCGGATGAGCCCTCACCGCATACATTAGGACATCTTTGAAAGCACAGCAGATGCGCCCAACGGTGGCGTCGAGGAGCATCCGCTGGTCACGCGCCAACGCCTCCTACTGCTTGTGACCCACAGCGCGGCGCGGCGCACCAGTGGCAACGACGATGCTGTGCAGCAAAACCGCTTGCGCAAGGTATGGGCACTCGCAGAAGAAATGCGCGGCGGTGGGCTCTCGCAGTGGTGCGCGAGCCTTGCTCTCGACGCTGTGCCCGCCATCTACGTGCTCGGCGATCGAGATGGCATTGCAACCTTCTCGACGGCGACTAGGAGCGGCGACTGGCGTATTTTGGAAGGAGACACGCTCACGCGGTACGCTCCCGCACTGCGCCACGGGTCACTCGTGCCGCAGCGGCAGTGCTTTGAGCAAGAGGCTAGCACCACGTCGATTGCTCTGTGGCACCGACTTGCCTCGGACGCACCACCGTCGCTGCACGAGCGACACGAGTGGCTGTGTAGCCACCAGACGGATGCTGCAAAAGAAGACGACTTGCGAGGTCCGTCGCTGGTCCAGAGCAAAGCAACGGTGCCGTCCTCCAAGGTATCCCAGCAAGGCCAGCTCATCGTTGCCCCTGCGCTCGGTTCGCTGCCTTGGGAAGTTCTTCTCGAGGAAGCCACGGACCACACGCGTCTCGCGGTTGCTCGTCTCACTCGGCCACTCGAGGCTCGGTCGAATGCGCTCGAGTGGTCGACCTCGCACCTGCTTTTGTTTGTCGTACGTCCATCAACACTGACGTCACAGAGTCCACTGGACCTTTCCAGGAAGATCCATCTTCTTGCACCTCGCGACGCTGCGAATGCGGCCATCGACCTTGCGGTCGCCAAGCTGCGCCGGAAGAAGCCGTCGCTGGCGCCAACGTCGTGCCCGATGAATATGGCGGTGGCGGCGATGGAGGATTGGTCGACGGAGGCGGTCACTGCACTGCGCCGGTCACCCACGCTCTTTGCGATGCTTTTGGTTTCCTCCAGCTTTGTGCAGCCGCTGGCGTTGGCGCTCTGGGCGCGCCGGCCCAAGAAGCGCCGACTTTTTAACAAGCCGATTCGCACCGTGGTGGCACCGCGCGAGTGGCTCGACGACGTGCTCGGCGCCTTCGAGCGGACGCACTTCATACCCGTGAGTGTAGTGATTACAGACGCTTGATGGCGCAGTTTAATAGGATTATATAGTACGGCCTACCCTCTATGTATATGACGCTATCTCAGCTCGATGACCGGACACTAGACGCGGTCGACGATGGCCGAAGCTCGTGGTCGTCCTTGTCGATCATCGCCGACGAAACAAACGACCGCATGGTCTCAAACCCGCTGGCGTCGCTCGCCGTGTCGTACGACTCGCTGCGCTTGAGTCGGACCTCGATCATCGGGATCGAGCTGCTTTGGTACAGTCGAGACGATGACGACCCGCGGTGGATTGAGCTCTCGCTGCGAATCTGGTCACGCGATGTGGGCGAGAGGCGGTCCCAGAACGAGTCGCGTGCGCTCGGGTCTGGCGGGACGTCCGTGTTGGGCTCGTTCGTCGACGCGATGCTCTGGTCGAGTGACATCGAGTCGTTGCTTTGGCGCGAGCTCGCTTTGAGGAGCCACGGCACAAAGGTCGAGTTGCTATTTGGGTCAAAGGGCGATGCCACGTACGAGTGGCCACCGCCGCGCGAGAGCGTCATCGGAAGCTCGAGCGCCTCGGACTTGAACGGGGCGCCGCTGCGGTAGCGCAGAAAGAGGACGGCGGCGAGACCGCCCACAAGAACGAGTGCGCCGACGACGATGCCGGCGATCGCGGCGTCGTCCATACTACCGTTGTTGCTGCGCAAAAAGCCAAGTGCGACCAAGCGCCATTACGCAGCCAAGATCGCGTATAAGTCCAGCAGGCACGTGGGACACGCCAGCCGTGACCAACATGTGCGTAGCTCCTGGCGTGATTCGAGCATGTCTGCGGCCGAAAGTATCTTGATTGTGACGGACGACACTGCCGCAGGGAGCGGCCAACTACTCCAACTCCTGTACTGTAGTATGGTGCGAGGGCGCGCTGGTGTAGTAGCACTCGCGCTGCGTGGAGGACGCTCTGCTATACTAAGCGCCATTACGACGGCTTCCTCGCACCTGATGTCGACTCGGCTACGTGTCGACGACGACGTGGCGCCCGGTGCACCTTGCGAGGCCGCAGAGGCGCGGAGGCTTACTCGTAGTGGGACGGCGCATTGCCCGCTGATTGGCGCCTTCGCGATCCAAGATCCGGTCCGATTGGCTGTAACCGTGCTCGCTGATTGGTGCATCCGCACTGTCCCGATCAAGGTGGCAGCGCCGCTGGCCTCCTTTCCGCTTGAGATTGGACTGTCCAATTCGCAAAACAACTTTGCGTTAACGGCACCCATTGCCGTAAAACTACGTCACTGAAACGAAGCGATCGTCGCTTGCCAGACAAGGTATATTGTGCTGTAGGTGTAAGTAAACCGAGTTCCTAGCAAAGAAGGCGCGCGAGTTGCTTCTCAATGTCGTCGAGGTTGTGGTCATACGAGGCAGGAATCGTGGTGCACTTGAGCTTGTTGAACATTTGCGAGAGCTCGGGCTGGCATTGTTTGAAGATGTACTCACGCAGCGGAAGAAACTTGGTCACGCGCGGCAAGGCCCACCCAGGATAGATCGCCTCAAACTCCTTGTATGGGCGGACGCCGCTCGCGAAAACTATGCCGACATCATCGACGACACACGTCGCACAGCTTCGGTGCGCGAGGTCGTGCGAGCCTGTGTTATACACACCGACGAGACCGACAGGCTGGTGGTATGTGTCGTGGAGAGCGTCGTTTTTCGTGGACGCATGGCCCAGCGTCTTGGTGCACGGGCAACGGCAACGTGGGCACGGCGCCCCACAGCGTGGCATGATTCCGTCCACGGCCCCGTACGCTTCGTTCTGGATGACGTCCACAACCTCGTCGGCCATCGTCGAGCTCCATTGCGTCGAAGGCCCAAGTTGTGCCTTGAGAGCGGCAAGGTGCGTCAAAAGAGCCTGCGTGACGTGGAGTCCGTCTTGGTTGGCCGGAAGAGCAAAGACCGATGGCCCTTGATCGTCGCAGTTCATGACGTCGCCTGCGACGGTTGGTAGGCTCCCAATGAGCGCACTCGTGCCACTGCACTTGAGGCGACACTGGAGCTTCAGACGCAGTTCGTGGACAAAGCACTCGCTGCGCTTGCTCGCGGCGCTGGCAGCGACGGTACTTGCGCTCACAATGCTCTCTTCGACATCACGCACGAGCTTCTTCGCCACGCCGAGGTAGCATTCCTGGACCTTGACCAAGACGAGACGACTCATGACGTCCTCTGCGTGCTCTTCGGGGCGATCGATGAGGTCCAGCACCGTACGGACATCCTTCTCGCGCATGTGCCGAAGAAGATCTTGGTCCAAGGCAGCTTGCATCGCATCAGCGGCGCGCACCCAGCGAGCATGCTTGAGCGACGAGGCCACAACGCTCACGACCTCTTCTTCAAACGCCTTGGTTAAGTTAAGGCCCAGCCACTCGTTCAACGTCGTCGAGAGCAGCTGCGCAGCCTTTTGGCCCTCGCAGACACTGCACGCAAACCGGTGCAAGCTCGGCCGGTACGCCTCAAACTTGGCGATGACGCTGTTGGCCTTGTCCCAACGTTCCTGGCGCTTCTGAAGCTCACCCTTGAGCGTCGTGACAAGCGCTCGAAGACCGACCTGGAGCTCCGACGGGCTCAATTGCTGCGCCAAAAGCAGACGCTTGACATTCAACACACACGAAAGCGCAGCTTCGTCCGTGTAGCGGTCAACCTCGGCAAGCAAACTGCGCACGCGATCGCACACCATGTCGATCACCTTGTCTTGACGCGACGGCTCGGATCGGTTGTCTGAACTTGAGAACCACACCCGTTTGAGCTTCGAAATCAACCAGCCATGCTTCTCGTTGCTGTCATGGCCAAGGTGCGCGAGCTCGTCCGGCGTGAAGACATGGTTGTCGTAGATGACTGCGCGCACGAGCTTGGGGACTTGAGTCGAAAGCGAGGGCATTTTTTTGGACGCGCGCGCCAAGACGTCGTTGAAGATGTTGTCAAACGCCTGCATCGTCTTTTCAGGCCCAAACCGCGCGTTGTGATGCACAATTGTCGTTTGGATCTCTTCTTTGAAGACCTTGGTGATGGCGTCGTACTCAAAGAGGTGCTGGACCTTGGACTGGACGAGGCGCGCCGAGTGCGCCGCTTGGCGCTGCTTCTTGTCCGTCCACGTGTCTTGCATCGTTGTCGCCCACTTGGCAAACGCATCTTGCTCGAGCGACGTCGCGACGACCGCGTCCAGCGTCACCAAATGCGATTGTACGTGGTGCTCTAGAAGAAGCTGGTACTTGCGGCCATTCGAGCTCGACGACGGCGTCTTCTCGGCCGCGCTGTCGGCACTCATCGTCTGCAGCACCGTATCAAAGGCGTCGCTGTAGATCTTGGCGAGCTCTTGCGTGTGCTCCGTCATCATTTGGACGAGCTGATCGTACACGACGCGCTCGTGCGCCGACGCAAAGTCGAGCTCAAAGTTGGCGCTTTGGAGGCACGTCCAGACAAGGTCCAAGCTCTCGCTGAGCTGGGAAATCGTGCGCGCCTGCCACTGGCTTTCAGTGGCGCGGGTGTGCATGTGGTCCCGGAACCGGACGAGGCGCTCGCCAAAGTCGGGCAGCGGCACGTCGTTTGGCGGCGTGGTTTGGCCTTGCGTCATGCCGAGGAACCGGACGTCGCTCCCCGCCTCGTCGGCAATGTCGGCGCGAAAGTCGCTCAAGAAAGTGGCCGTCTCGGTCTGCCGCACCGCCGCAATCTGCTTGGCACTGTTGCGAAGACTGTCGAGGAGCGCCCGGA